CATTAATTTATTTGGAAACATTTTTTGAGCATTCCCAGACCCCCCCAAAATAACCACGTTGAGGCTTTTCTGATACTGTGGGACACATCTTGTTAACGGATGCCCAAAATAAATCAAGATAAAGCACAGATGTTCACGGAGTTCAAAGCTATGGTGGCTGGACGCTGAGATGCTAAGTACGGTCCTCAGGGAAGGAGCTTGGTGGGGCCAGTCTCGCTGCTAGAACGGACGCCCCTTCTGTAACAGCTCGCTGCAAAACAGACACTTACTGCTGTTTTCTCTTCTTGCCTCCTTCCGTGGAAGTGACAGTCCTCTTTGGATTTCTTACCCTTGGCAAACTCAGGTATTAATGTAAGTCTTTTGTACGAGCGAGTGGCATAACAGGAACGTCTAACAAGTGGAGAATACCTGTGTCTGACTCGATGTGATGTCACAAGGGAGCATAATGTGATGGTCAAGTCTATGTAAAAATTCCAGTGGATTTGAATTGAATCGATCATCGTATGTTGTAGGCCCTGGGGTAGACTCTGACAAAAGAGATTTTAGGGTTCCTCCTCGCATAAGACTTTTTTCTTCCCAGGCAGGGAAAAGACACATATTGGCAGGGACACTACTCAATAGCGGTTCTTGGTTAGAAACCAAAGAGAATGGTCCACACACCTATAACATGCCCTTTGGGATGCATTCTCTAAGAATGGCCGATATCACTTAATCGATGGCCAAAAATCATGTAGTGTAGGCCTCAGTGAAGGCAACTAATTTAGCAAGTTGAGAGGTTTTATTTATTTATTTATTTTAAGATTTAATTTATTTGACAGAGAGAGAACAGGTAGGTAGAGCAGCAAGCAGAGGGAGAAGCAGGCTCCCAGCTAAGCTGGGAGCCTGATGTGGGGCCTGGGATCATGACCCGAGCTGAAGGGAAATGCTTAACCTACTGAGCCATCCAGGTGCCCCAAGTTGAGAGTTTTATAAAGTCATTCTTAATTGGCTGTCACCAGTGTGAATGTAGAGACAACATGGCATAGGGTTAAGAGCAAGGTTAATTGTCTGTCTCCAATCAGGCAATTCATTTCAGGTATCAGCTTTGCTATTACCTAAATGCATGATCTTGAGAAATCATTTAATCTGTCCGGCTCTTAGCTTTCCTGTCTGTGAAATGGGGCATACAGTCATAGTTATATCTACCTCATAGAGCTGTCTGTCAATTAAATACAAATATTCTAGAAAACTCTTAGCACACAGCCAGGCTCATACTGAGTATTTGATTTCTGGGCTTTTGTGTAATTGGGGATTGGCCGAAAGAAATGCCTCCTGTTAGTTTCTGAGTGAAGGAGATGCCAACTTGTGCGTATACTTACAGCTGTTGGTTTTCTAGTAGCAGCCCAAGGGTTAATACTGTAAGAGGGTGTGGGTGGCTCCTGTTTAGACAAAACCACATCCCAAAGCTCCCTTTTAACAAGGTTTGCTATTGTTAGGGTTTTTCACCACCTCTTTGAAGTTTCAAGATTGACAGATGTTATTCAGTAATTCCTGACCCACCAAATTTTTACATGTAGGTTTTCAAAAAGAAATCACAGGAAATTTGAGGGGAAAGTAAAACTTTGGTTTCTGATATTGAACAGGGGCGGGGGTGATTTCTAGAATCTTCTTCACACATAAATTTCAGGGGATTTCTGTTTTTGTGTTTCCCTCAGCCTGAAAAAGAATAGCAGTTAACGAGGAAGATTCTTTTCATCTATGGCCAGGAATTACAAATAAAATTAGCAGCAATAAGTGAACTGTTCATTTGAACGTGTTGCGCTCTTTAACCCATTGAAGACACAGCCAAGTAATTATGCCATTAATGTTTGTTTGTTTGTTTTAATTTTCTAGTTCTGTCATTGCCCCATATGTGAAAGAGAATATTCACCTTGGACCAAAGTGAAGTCTCCTCACGTTCTGCCAATGCCTTAGAGGTTGTTAAAAGAAATAACATCTATAGAAGAGGGGCCAGCAAACTTTGTCTAGGAAGGGCCAGGTAGTCAATATTTTAGGCTTTCTGGACCAGGTATTTTCTCTGCTGCACGAACTTCTTAGTCTCTTTCTTTTTCTAAACAACTCTTTAAAATACAAACAAACATTTGTAATGTATGGGACTTTACAAAATAGTCCCTGGGGCCATGGTTTGCCAGCTCTGCTCTAGAACAGAAACACGTGTGAGGGCTCTTGTCCTGTGGAAGTCATCATCCATTCAGCTTCTGTGACCAACATTCACTTGGTGTAGGTACCCATTCTGAGCCAGGTGCTGGGTATAGCGAGGTGATCAGTATGTGTAGATTTACCCTATAGAGCGCGCTTCCTCTTGGGGGAAACAAGCAACATGGGAATCAAGCCGATTTATGATGATAAGGCATCTTGTGTGGAGGCAGACAAGTGGGTGCTTGAAGCAGACCCATCCATGAGATCCTTCAGATAATAGAGGCAGAGTTACTGGGAGGGAACATTGTTTCCCACTTGGACACCTCCTTCATCTGGCCCCTTACCCTTGCTCTCCAGGCTCATACTTTGCTGAACAATGGGGACAGTCCGTATTTGTCCACATGAACTGTTTCTACTTTTGCAGTTCCAGTTCCCTCTGTCATTGCCTTGTTACTTCCACCCCCCACTCTCACCACCTGTCCTTTGTCCCATTCATGCCTCCCAGTGTGAGCAAGAGTTTGGGTTTTCAAGTCAGTTACCATATTGTTTCCCCTTTCCTGTTCTTTTTCATGCACTAATTGATCTTTCCCCATAATGGTGATTGTTTTGTCCTCTTGTTTGCTGAAATTCAGATGTTCTGGGGTTACTTTTCCGGGTCTTTTTTAGTGCCATCGGATAGACATAAGAGCTAAGGTTTTCATCTAGAATATATAGGCAGTGGAAGTTGGCGTTTCTACTTAGAACTGACCTTAAGACCAGGCAGGACGTCAAGTTAAACTCGAATAGCCCCTCAAAATAAAAACCCGAGCGCCCCAAACCATCACAGCACAAGCTTCATTTTTCACTGTGCTTTGTTAAGTGATGATATCAAATACGATCTAGGTAATGGGTTCTCTTCAAGAGGCTATGGTTCTCTGCCTTTCACCTGGACTATATTCTTACTACTGTATCCTCATCAAACACCTACAGTAGGTGAAGACTGCCTATTGAACAATTACAGATACTTTCTCTGACATGATGTCCAGTTCCTTCACCCACATTTTTTCTTTCGGTTCCCTTGCTGGAGTTGGCAGTTTTGGAAAATTGCTCTTCCTCAAGCAGATCATACATTCGTAGTTTCTAACCTAACATTCCTTCTAGCCATCACTGACTTTTTCCCATCTTCAACTGACCACCTCAGAGACAGTCCTTGCCACCGTGGTTCCCTGTCTCTCTAAGCTTTTCTACATTCCACCAATGCGTGTAGACTGCAGCATACATTCCCCACCTGTCCCAGGTGGCCATGTGTTACTATTCATCTGTGTGCGTGTCCTAATCCTCTCCTTGTGTTGTAACCTCTTTGAGGGCAGGGCCACACCCATGGTAGTCACCCAGCAGCTCTATGTTGAACGAGCGAATCTAGCATCTGATCATGAGGTCTCCTTGTTAGTAGGTACCTGTGAGGGAGAATGAATGACACATAAAAGCAATAGGATTCTGGCATTCTTGCCCAGTGGAGACAGCCCACCACAAAGCTCTCCCTGAACCATAACTGCCTTTCACTGTTGCTTGCCGCTGTTTCTATTCGTGTTTTTCTTCCCTAAAGGAAAACCATGTGACCAGAGTCAGCCAAGGCCAGTGTATGAAGTAAAGTTTGACATACACGACACTATGTGTGGTCAGATAGCTGGGGCTAAGGACTCTCCTCCATCACCGCACAGGTCTGCCTCAGTGGTCCCAATTAGAAAACCGGCTACATTTCCTTCTTTTTACTCTTCTCACCTTTGTAGTAATATTTCCACTGTTGCCAGTAAGATTTCCTGTTCTACGAAACTTCAGATCAACATGCACATTGAAAAGAGGGATGTTGGGCACCTGGGTGGCTCAGTTGGTTAAACATCTGCTTTTGGCTCAGGTCATGATCCCAGGGTCCTAGGATCGAGCCCTGCATCAGGCTCCCTGCTCTTTGGGGAGCCTGATTCTCCCTCTCCTCCTCCCCCTTATCATGCGTTCTCTCTCTCGCTCTCTTTCCCAAATGAAAAAATAATACCTTTGGGGAAAAAAGAGGGATATTGGGTGGATATGAGGTAACTGACTTCCAAAGAGACCCTTTTGCACAGACTCCTCTCCCCACTCTCTTCCTACCACCTGCTTAAGGGTGGCCTGAATATTGATCAGAATAGGACAAGCTGGAGTATATAAAAGAACAAAGATGATGATAGAACTGTGCCAGTCTCTTCATTTTTATCCTGTGCCATCCATACAAGGCAGGAGCTGTCATTCTTTCTTTATTCCCAAAGCCTCCTTTAATGCCCTGGGTTTAGTTAACACTCAATAAATACTTCATCCATTTATCCAACACTTACTGAGGACCTGATGTGGGTTCAGTGCTGTTTCCAGTAGTAAAAAAGGAAGACGTGGCCCATGGCAGCATGGAGTTGTCAGTCCTTTGAGGGTGGGAGAAGTAGGAAAAATAGGGAAAGACCCCATAACTGTAGTCATAGTGATTTAATTCAAATTGTGCCAAGTTGTCATATAGGAAAAATGTAGAGTGTTATGATAATATATAAAATAAAACACTTTCCCACATTTTCCTGGATCTCCTTTAGAGAGTGACATTGAAGCTGAACTTTGAGGGAAGATTAGGAGACCTTGAGTAGGTGGCCAAGGTCAAGGAAGTCTGGACAGGTGCACCCACCGTGGAATAAAAAGTCATAATTTATTATCCACAAAATCTATGCAGATGTTAAAACATCTAGGTGCTGCAGATATGGACCCATTCTCTGACCTTGCATACCCACTGAACCCAATTTCTTCTCTTCCTCCTTTTGTTTCCACATCAGAATATGCCACCAACAACCCTGACCTGTTGTTAGTCATATTCCAAGTGACAGGCGTCAGCCTCCTGCCACCGCTGGGAATCGCCATAGCCGTCATCATCACCTTCTACTGCTACCGTGTTCACCGGCAGCAGAAGCTGAGCCCGTCCTGGGAGACCAGCAAGCCGCGGAAGCTCATGGAATTCAGCGAGCACCTGGCCATCATTCTGGAAGACGACCGCTCTGACATCAGCTCTACCTGCGCCAACAACATCAACCACAACACAGAGCTGCTGCCCATTGAGCTGGACACCCTGGTGGGGAAAGGTCGCTTCGCTGAGGTCTACAAGGCCAAGCTGAAGCAGAACACTTCAGAGCAGTTCGAGACCGTGGCAGTCAAGATCTTCCCTTATGAGGAGTATGCCTCCTGGAAGACAGAGAAGGACATCTTCTCAGACATCAACCTGAAGCATGAGAACATCCTGCAGTTCCTGACGGCCGAGGAGAGGAAGACGGAGCTGGGGAAACAGTATTGGCTAATCACCGCCTTCCACGCCAAGGGCAACCTACAGGAGTACCTCACGCGGCACGTCATCAGCTGGGAGGACCTGCGCAAGCTGGGTAGCTCCCTTGCCCGGGGCATCGCTCACCTGCACAGCGACCACACTCTGTGCGGGAGGCCCAAGATGCCCATCGTGCACAGGGACCTCAAGAGCTCCAATATCCTCGTGAAGAATGACCTGACCTGCTGCCTGTGTGACTTTGGGCTTTCCCTGCGCCTCGACCCAACTCTGTCTGTGGATGACCTGGCCAACAGTGGGCAGGTAAGTTAGACCTGGATCACCTTACTTGCAGGGGGCCTACGCCACCTCTCCACCCATCTCTCATGTCTTTTGTCTCAAACAGCCCTATGCGCTGAACACCTGCCTAGAGATGCTAGCCAACTTCAGGAGTTGCCCCTGGGCATGCCCCACTCTGTCCTGCCAGTGTGCTTTTCTAATGAACAACATTTCCCCTCTGGTTTCTGCCAAGCCCATCTAATTCAGACAGACGTTCTTCTCCTTAAGTCGGTCTTCATTTCTCTCGCATTTGCAAATGACTTTTCGTTGCTTTGAACAACCCCATTTGTGCTTTTTTCTATCTTTTTCCTCTCTTCTGCTTCTACTCAGCCCTTCCTACTCTGAACTATTGGTGGCTACCTTGCTTTCTTTTTACCTTTCTAGAAAGCAGCCTCCTTCGAGCCCAAATCCACTTGCATTTTTGCTCCCATCTAGCACAATGCCTTGAAACAGTGAAAGTGACCAATAAATATTTGAGTGAGTTGACAGACTGAGTGAACATACAATTCTGTGGTTCCTTTGAAGCCTCTCACAGATGAAAATAGAAATCTTTTTGGGTAAGGAGATATTGGAAGGTCACTAGAAAGTACCAAGCCATCCTTTATGAATAAGAGCGCCCCATCTTTTCACACACTGGAAGCTTGATGTGGATTACAGTACAGTCTGGAAAGCACCATTATTTCCTCTAAGTAGGTGGGGGGGGTATGTGCTTTTGAACCATTTGGTTACTGCTCAGTCTGACCTCTTGGGTCCGTGGCTGCACAGCCAATGTTCAGATAAATATATCGAGTGAAACATGGATGGAGTAATATGACAGGGTAATGAGTCATGCAGTGACCTATTAAGAAGAAAACTTTCTTCTGTTACATACCATTAAGAAACATTCCTTGGGACAATAATACCAATTTACCTGACCTTCCTTAGCTTCTTGAGAAGGTAGGACTTCACTGTTACTTAGTGAAGCCACACATGCTATAAAACCAAACGTTTAAGTGATCCCTTCCCTAGAAATATCTTTCTTTTTCCCTATGTATGCCAGTGTTTTCACATTATCATAGTCAAAACAAAACTACATGGCATGGCCATCAAAATTATAAAATGGTCTAGATTTAGTATTTTATTACAGAAATACTTTCATGCAGTATATTTTACTAGAGATTTTATGAAATTATACTACATTCTTGGCACACTGGAATGTATCATAGAGTAAACAAAGAAGATTAAGACAGTCCTTAAGTGACTGAAACTAATGACAATGATTCTTATTTCCCCCATAAATCTTGGTGTTTCAGGAATGAGAAAAACAGTTAATTTGCGAAAGCAAAAATAAAGATCTAAAGTAGCACAGACGTCTCCCCAGTTATCTCTGAGGATGTTATTGTATAATACGATGACATATATCATGAAACTAGATAAAGCAGCTCTGGGGTTTGGCACTTCCTTATTTTGGTATGCTTTGTTTATATTTTTGAAAGTGTTTTCAGGGAGAGAAAACCTATTTTTAAAAATAATTTCATAAGCTGTAACTTTCTTTGCCTGTCTCATGATTTAAAAGAGCACTGCACTTTTCAGAAATCATCTGCATGTGTAGAGGACAAACATCAGTTATATTTTTAAAATAAAGATGCAGCTGGAATTGCATGATGGGCCTCAATGTCTTTTATTGCTTTAGGTGGGAACTGCAAGATACATGGCTCCAGAAGTCCTAGAGTCCAGGATGAATTTGGAGAATGTTGAATCCTTTAAGCAGACAGATGTCTACTCCATGGCTCTGGTACTCTGGGAAATGACATCTCGCTGTAACGCAGTGGGAGGTATGTATGGACCACCATCATGGGGCAGGGCTTGATGCGTCTTCAAAATGATGTCATGCCTCTTACTTCAACCATGATTCCAGGGGTATAATAGTGTTAACCCCACAGTTGGAGCTAGTTGAGATCTGTTAGTACACAGCCATTCCAGGAGGATTGGGAATTGTGCTAATAAAGGCTAGATTTTTAAGCTGAAAGCCATGTTTGGCGTATAAAGCTTTCTATCCTCCTTTCTGAAGTATGATTACTTTTCTTTTGATATATCTCACCAGATATTTAAATATCTGGCAAGAGATAAACATGAAAACAATTCATAGAATTAGTTCTATTTATCCAATGGAAAATATTATTTATATATGTTATAAAAATATTTATATTATAAAAATATCCAATGGAAAATATCTGATTTTTGTTTCATTTTCTATTTTAAGGGTTCTTTTTGAACCTTAAGAATTATAAGGTCTAGGTAGTGGATTTGGCTCAAAGTTTATTTTTATGGAAATGACTTTACTTTGTTGGGCGAAACAAGTGGAACGATTTGGTATATTTGTTTAGATTTGTAAAACTCTAGTAGAGAAGTTTTTAAGGAATGCTATGGTATTCTTCATGGGTGTAGAAGGGATGCCACTGCTTTAGACAGCATTATCCTGATCTCCATGGACATGAGAATGGCTCAGGTCTACATTTTTATCCTTTTCGCATTCTTCTCAGTAGTTTCCATGACTGAAACTTATGCATCTCAGCTTGGTCTTGGCTGATGGCTAAGTCAAGCCAAGCCAACTCTAGTTTTATTTTTAACTCTTTGTTTTGTAATATTTTTAGACTTACAGAGCAGTTGCAAAAATAGGATAGGGAGTTCCCATATACTCTTTGCCAGCTTCCCCTACCATTAACACCTTACCTAAACCACAGCACAGCTATTGAACACAGTCATTGACATTGGCACAATACTCTTAATTAGTCCGTACAAGTTATTCATGCCTCTGAGTTCCCAGCAATGTCCTTTTCTGGAGCAGAATTCAGTCCAGGATCCTATATTCCAGTTAACGTCCATGGCTTCTTGGTCAACTTGTGACACTTCCTCATTCTGTATGTCTTTCCTGACCTTGACACCCAGGAAGAAGTTAGACTAGTTCTTTCATAGACGGTCTCTCAACTTTGGGTTTCTCTGATGTTTTCTCATGGTTAGATTGAGATTGTGCTTTTGGGGCATGAAGAACACAGCAGTGGTGCTGTGCCCTCCTCGGCAGCTCAGGGAGAGGGCACAAGACGTCAGGGTGCCTGTTCAGTTTGGTCCCTGGATTGGGGTGGTACCTGCCTGGTTTCTCCCCTGTAAAGATACTATTTTTTTCCATTTGTGGTTAATACATATCTTATAAGCAGCTACCTTGACCTGTTTCAGAAGTACTCAACACATATTCGTAAAGATACTAGACCTGTTTCTTATCATAAATTTACCTGCTGATTTTAGGATCCATCAGTCATCCTTGTTGGCAACTATTATTGTAATGTTTGCCTATCAGTGATTTTCTGTTTTCTCAGTCTTCCTACATGTGGTAGTAGATCTTCTGCTGTAAAGGAGATCTGTCTTTTCCCTCGCCACCCCCAGTATTTATTCTTTCCATTATGCATTTATATCTGTGTGGAGCTATGAATATTTATTTTATTCTATGAGTATCTAATATCATCAAAATTTATTTTGTTGCTCAGATCATCAGAGCTTTGATCACGGGGCCATACTACCCATGGGTAAAACATGGTGGCTCTGGTTGGCACCATGCTGGCTCTGAGTCTTCATCCTGTTTAGAACTTCCTTAGCCGATCCTCCAGAATGGGTCCAGATCACTCTTTTCCACTGGAAAGCTTACTGTCCCATCACCTATTTGCCTGGGTTCCTGCATAGGGATGGCACTTCCTATCTCGCTGTCTTGCTGAATTTCTTCCCCAACAGCACTTCCAAAACTAACTTGGTTTTTCCTTGCACAGTGAAATTTGTTTAACCAAGTTTTAGCCACTGAGGATAATTTTCTGCTTAAAAGCTTTGACAGTTCCAAAATGAATCCTCAGACCGGTATGCGTTGTGTAAGAGATGATGCTGTTGTCACTGTCAGAATAAATTTACCTAGATTTCAGTATCTTTTCTCTCCTTTCAAACCCGCTATTTTATAAACATGAGCTGGAGATTGTGTCTCTTTCTTTCCCTCTGTCGGCGCAGCCAGCTTATTAAGGCCCTGTGTGAGCTCCCTGCTCTCATTGTTATCAATGACTGAAGCCCTTTCCTGTTGATATTTGCTGAGTGTGGAAGAATTCAGGCTCATGGGGAAGAACTGAGTTCACCAACTTTTACAAGGTCTAAAAACGGATACAGTATAAACAAGTTTTCCCAAGGAAGGAACAGGATCTCATTTGCTCAAAAAACCTTTCATAACTTTTAGGATAAGAACAGACAGCTTTTGGGGAACCGGAAAGAGGCCATCCCGGTTCTCATTTTGTTTGATCTTAAGCCCACAGTCCTTTTTCTCCCATCTCCGCTCAGGCTGCAGAAACCCATGTTATGTATCTGCACTCACTTCGATCCCACTGAAAGCCCTTCAATTGATTGAGTATGTGAACTCACAGATTAAGTCCTTTCGTTAACCTTCTTTGGAAAGCATTGTTTTTTGGTTTAGGGATTTTTTTGTTTTGGTTTTGTCTTTGTTTTTGTTGTTTGTTGTTTTTGTTTTGTTTTTTGTTTTTTTGTGTGTGCATTTTTGTTTTTGTTTGTTTGAGGGGGTGATCTACCTTAAAAACATTAAAGGCAGATTCTTAGCTTAGTCTTGGTTTCAGCAACTTTTCTTCTGTATTTTAAGAGTCTCGTGGAAATAACATAAAGCCTGAAGATAGATGCATTGCCTCCCAACTGTTGTTGATACAGGGGTAGAAGGATAGGTTTTGCCTTCAGGAAGTTTGTAGCCTACTGATGAGACGGACTTCTTTTTCTTTTTCTTTACTTTTTAAAAACGTACGCATGCAGACACATCTCTTACCTTAAAAGTAAAATGAATAATAATTCCCTCCAGGTAATATTAAGCTTTAATTCTGAAGGTCTAAGAAAGAGAACAGGATATAAAAAGGTTTTCTTGAAGCTTAAGCCTTCTTTTCTGCAATCTGAGATAAAACGTGTGTAATTACCATTTTTCATTGACCATCTCGTTTCCAAAAAGGAAATGGTGGAATATGAAGCTTAACTTAGTCTGATGACTTGTAGATTGAGATTTTTATTTTGCAATGTAGGTCAGCTAATATTCCTTCCAGCTTTATTCTACGTAGCAAAACATCGAACTGAATACAGTAGGATACCAAGCATCAAGGGACCATCTTGCAGGGAATGAGAAACCCCAGCTTTCCTGGCTTTAAGTGACTCCATTCTGTTTTTGTGGTTGAGCCCAGACTCTTCACATGGATCCTAAATCTGACCCCCGCTCACCTTTCTGGGCTCGTCTCCCAGGCACCATCGTACCACATAACAGGTCTTCTATGAATGTCTTTTAGGTCCCAATACTAGGCTTTGTCTTATGCTACTAATGGGAATTGAAGTAGACTTTTGAACAGGCAAGTGCAATTCAGTTGTGACCCGTGCTGCAGGAAGGTAAGGCAGGGCACTGAAAGCCCACGACAGCTAAGGGGAGTGCGACAGTAGGGTCAGGCACAGGGGGGTTAGGTCAGCTCTGGAAGGAAGGAGAAGACTTAGGAGTGTCCCCTTGAGTTCCTTCTTGATCAGTCTCTCCTCTGTGTAGAACAGCTCAGGGGGAAACAGAGAAAGATAGAGCACCACACTGGAGAAGTCTCTCTTATCAGATGAGAAAATGCGAACAGAGGGTAATAGCACTCTTCTGAAAGCAGCTGGTCCAGCGCCATTCACACCCAGGAGCTCAAGCGATGAGCTGTCATAATTGAAGAGGGCTGTCAAAAGCGGAAGGCCTCCTGGTGGATGCAGGTGTGATCATGACGAAAGCTTCAGAGGAGCAGCCGCCGTGACTGTGCACTTGCCTCATGGGTCCACTCCTCCCATCTACCAAGGACCCTGAAGTGAGCATTGTTACTGGCTGCATTTTACAGATGGGAAAACTGAGGTGTCAGGAGTTGGGCAAGCTGTGTGGCCAGGGATCAGAGCCCTACTCTCTGACTCTAGCCCACTGGCCCTGGCCTTCCTAGGATACTGCCGGCCTCACCAACGAAGGACATCTCAAGTAAGGGACAGCTGCTGTCACTATTGTTATCGTTACAGATTGGGCAGCCAGTGCGACCTTGTGCATCCTGGCCTTTAATTCAGTGCCTCTCCGGAAGTAGCTGGCAAAAACATTCGGTGACAGCCTCCTTCATGAAAGTGTCCAGGGACTGACATGGCCATCTCCTCTGGGTGCATCTCTGTCAGCAGAATCCCAAAGCTGTTCCTTTCTGAGCATGTTTTGGCCTCAGCACCTTTTAGTCTGAGATAACTTTCTTACCCTTTTTTCTCTGAAGATCTATTTATTCATTCATTCCTTCCCTCAACAAATATTTATTGAGTACCAGTTAAATGGCAGGCACATTCAAAATGCTAAAGGCACAGCAGTGAAAAAATTCAAACCAAACCAAACCAAAACAAAACAAAAATCAGTCTCTGTCCTCAAGGGACAAGTTGTCTCTGAAGAGCTAATATTCTAGAAAGACAAGTGGTGAACAAACGGGTACGTGATGCAATAGCAGTGGTGGGAGGAGGCAAATATGATGATTTTAGGAAGAAAAAATAAAGAGTTAGAGACAGGTTACGACAGAGGGCCTAACTTCAGACACTTGGATCGCCTGACAGAATATAAAAGTGAAGAAAACAGGTCTCTCAGAGCCACTGGAAGAAGGAGGTGATTGGTCTGTTCCTGTCTTATAAAGAAGGAGGAAGGTCATGCAGTCGTCACTCGGCAAGGACAGACGCAGAGCCTAGCTCTGTCTTACAAAGAAATCTCTGTCCGACTCTCGGTTTGTTT